GAACTAAGCAATAATACCTTTCCGATTCTAATAAACCTATAATAAATAAGGATCTAGTTGTTAAAAACCTAAAGGATATTTGTAGTAAATCAGAATTATAAATATTAAAATTTCATATACTACAAAATGAGACATTATATGTTTTATATAAATTATATAATATCAGGTATTAATATTTTATTATATATAATGTAATATATATAATTAACACACTATATCATATAAGATATATATAATTATTAATGTGATAAATAATGAAACAATATTATTGGTATCTATTAATATTAAGAAAATTATAAATTATGTATACACTCAAAATCATAAAAATGAAAATTAGCCTTTTATGATTTTTAAAATATGAATGACTTTTGTTAGACTTGTATAATAACAGTTTGTCGCCTACCTTAATTGTATATAGTGAATTTATTTATAAAAATTAAGTCATTGCATATTATAAAATAATTTACAAAAATATTTTTATTTATGTATGAATAATAGTATTTATATTATAATTTAAACTGTAATTCTTAACATAAAATATGTATACACATTATATATATATATTGATATATATGACTGATATACTAAGAATTATATATATTTTATATACAACTCAGAAAAATAAGTGTAGGCATAATCTTATAATATTTAAGACATATAATATTTCAAAATATAGAAAATTGCAAGAAGCCTTAAAAATTATTTAAATAAATAAAAAAAGTAAGTATTTGACAAATATTATAATAGTATATTTCCTTAAAATATCAAAATAATTCCATGAAGTTCATATAACTGTATATATTTCATAAATTAAATTTTAATATATAGTTTTATTTGTTAATTAACGTTCTATTTTTGATTTCTAGGATATTAATAAATAAATATTAACTGAGTTTATTATATTTTAAAAATATGAACAAATAATATTTGTGGTATTTACGCATTAGCCATAAAACACTATAAAACACAAATTAAATTAAATTTTTAATAAAAACAAAATGTCCTATATATATCTGCGTATTTTACATATATTAAAATATCAAATATAATTATTTCATTAAATTATTATATATAGAAACATAATGTCTTATAGGGAACTTGATTTTATTGTATGTATATATTTTTACATATTATAATTACAATTCTTCTTTAAGTATAATTTTGTAAACTTTCGTATGTAAATTAAATGCATTAATCATGAATATAATTAACATATTTTCTATTATGTTATCATGATTTTTTTAACTTTCAGTATTTGTATGTATACTTTTTTGACAGCTTCAAACACAAATTTGAAGAATATTCTGAAGAAAAAATTGAGAATATAATATCGAAAACCGTATATAAATAATATGAATCGAATGGAACTAATGTAATTCATAATTATTTTACTAATATATGTCTCAAATTTATATATTATTTACAAGAACAATACAAATTAGGAAAAGGAAATATAGCAGATGCAGAATATATATACTTGTATTATTGGCTGTATAATGACGTTAAGGAAAATACTAGTAATTAAGAAGATATGAAAAGCCTATATGGTGATTTACGCGATATATATGAAAAAAAGGATAACAAAATATGCAATTATTATAGAGAAAATATTACACAAGATATATTGGTAAAACTAAAAGGTATATTTGATATGAATAATGAAATAAATAATTTATAAAAAAATAATGGATTGTGCAATGATAAATGTGAATGCGCTAATGAATGCGCAAAAATATATGTGAAATACGTGGATGAATGTAAATCTAACAGAGGCAATATTTTTTGTTATTTATTAGAAGGTATCCAAAGCGAGTATAATACACTAAAGATAACAGGAAGTTGTAAAAATATTATTTATAAAACATTGCCATCCTTCCAGAAACACAATATAAAAGTGCCTATTATTATGTTAGTCCTTGTGGTGTTAGGAATATCAGTATTTTTATTTTCGCTATACAGGATTAACTAGCATGTTTTTTATATATAATTATATTATAAAATCCTTTTTAAAAATAATATAAAAAAAATAGAATTTATATTTAAAAGATTATATTTTCATTTTACTTTATTTACTTCTGTGTGCTAGTTTACTCCATATGCTTCATGCATGAAGTGCGTTATAAAAAAATATTAAAATGCATACCATAACCTAGATGAAGAACATAATAAAGTAAAAACATCCGAAATACCTGTAAGTATTTCATGGAAGAGGGGATATAATGTATTATATAATTAGTCACAATTATAACATATGAAATACAAAGAATGTTTTATTTTCAAAGTGCGTAAGAACAAAAGCAGAAATTGCATTACGATAAATATTTTGTTAAGTATGATTTTATTTTATGAATGTTATTTTATATTCAAAAAATAAGTACAATAAAATTCTTTTAAAGTTAGGCAATAATATCATGACTATTCAGGAATATTTTATATTTTAATTTTATATATTCTCTAAATGAAATTATAGTGATTTTATGCGTTATATGCTTCCAAAGTTGGTATTTATAGTTCTACGTCCAATTAAACCATTGTGTTGTTAGTTACAACATCTAGATTCATTTTATAAAATATTTAAAAAATGCTTCAACATATATGAACATGTTTTTATATATGTGTCTTTTCAATTTATACTAATGCCTCATAAAAAAATGACCCACATTTTTTTATTTATTACATTATTAAATAAACAAAACATAACCAACACAGATTATTATATAATTATCTATACCAAAAGAATTATGTTTTAAATTATAACTCCCACATTAATTTGGCAATTTTTATAAAAGATTACCTATATATATTTGATATAACACGCATTATTTTGTGTTTAATAAATGAAAATAATATTTTTTTGTGAAATTTAACTGAAAAAAAAATATAAAATGTAACATAAGTGATAATTTTCATTTAGGAAATCATTATTTTATACAATAAATAAAGTCATTAAAACTTAAATTAAGATTTTTGGAAAATAACGCTACTCCTATATTCGAATATTATATTTATCCAACAAAAAAATTAAAAATATACTAAAAATATAACATTATCTATATTCTCATATAGAAACTATAGACATATATTATATTACATGAAAATATATTATTCAAATGCAAATACAGTAAAATGTTGTCATAAAATGTATCTAGGCTTATTATATATATATGTTCTAAAAAAAAACTAAATGTATAATAGATATTATATTACTAAATTAACATAAATTATAACATTGTAGCAAAATTAAGTATATATTAGAAAATTTATATATATCATTTATCGTGTTTTTATAAAATCAATGTAAATTTCAATAATACATCATTATTGATACAAATATATTATATACAATAAAAAAAGCAATAGTTAGATATAAGCAATAAATTCAACAAAGTAAATCCAGAATAATTTTCAATACCTTATTTCAATGAATTTACATAATTGTTTTAATTATTATAGCAAAAAATAATTTAATACATGATATATTATATGAATATATAATAAGTTATTATTATCAATAATTACAAGAGTCATAAGAAAATAAGAATATTTTTCTGTTACAATTAATAAAAGAAAATGCCAAAAAATTACTTATTAGTACAATAAAAATATAATTATTCTTCCTAAAGCTACTCTAAATGATTTAATTATATAAAATACTTTGTGAATCATATTTTATAATTTATAAACAAGAAATTATTTTTTCTAAAAATAGAACAAAATAAATAAAGTATTTTTTAAAACTTAATAATACTGCTCATATTAAATATTTAACCATTATTAATTCAAATAAAGAAATAACAATTTCAAATAATCAATTCATGTCAAACATGAAAAAAAAAATTTCATAATAACATGAATTATAAAAATAGCTAAAATGCAATAATAATATTAAAAAAATACTAATATTTTTAATTATCCACTGTAAATAAATATTATAAAAATTAGTTTATTTCATATACGAAAGCAGTTAATAGCATAAATTTTAAAAAATAACATCATTTAAAAATGGACTAAAAAAAAAAATATATATATATATTTTATGCAAGGAATTTATGCTTTAATAATCTACAATAAAAAAATAAAATAATTCATTGTATTATAAATAAAAAGCGTGATTTACAACATATACACAAATTTTATATAATGTTTTTAATATTTTACATAATATATGATAAATCATTCGGAGCGTATAAATAGGATATATATATTATATAATGCATACCTATAGATTTTATTTCGCGTATATATATATGTATATATTGATAGGGTCGTCTCGAATTTTCAATGCTTGTAGCATAACTCATAACTATGCATTATATGTATATGAATTAATTATAATATATGTGCAATTACAATACTAAATCACATTGTATCTAACACTCACATTTATTTTTATGCTGTATTAAATAGTCCTCATATATATTATACCGTATACATATTCTATTAATGTAAATTACAAGAATCATTTATAATAAATTTTTATCAATTTTTATATAGAAATAAAAAAGCTACTCAAAAAAGTATCTATTTTATAATAATATTATACCCTTTTTATTATTATGTTATATTTATTTAAATATAAACAAAAATAAGCAAAATAATAACTATATATATATTAATGCTAATAAAAAATGTTGTATACCAATTTTATTAATATTGCTTTTGAAATTATATAATTTTTGTTAAGTGTAATACCTTTAATAATAAATATCAATATACTTTTTTTTTTTTTAAATAATTATTTTTATTATCCATTGTTACCTTAAAATAATTATATAAATATACTTCATGTCACATACACAAGTTACATTATATTAGCCTGTAATAAATTATAATGATCAAGAAAATAAATGATATTTTTACATCAATCATACTACTGTAAAAATATAGATCTTATTTCTTCTTTATAATATATTCTATTGCAGTTAATGATTAATATTCAATATTCTTAAATATAAAAATTCTATTTAGTTTATCATAAAACGTATAAAACAATATCTGATATGGCCTTAGCAAATGTACTTTGTATTATCAAAATATATATTGCAACTTTGTTACATATATATATATATATATATCATTCTTCATAAATATTATTAATATTTATTCTAGATAATGTTATTTTCTTCATTAAACTTTTTATTTATTTTAGTATGAATTCGTAGAGTTTTTTCCTGAATGTAACAAAATTATTGATGGATATGTTTCTGGAGAAAATTGTCACCAGGTTTTTTATGATGAATTTTTTGATCAACACAATATTAGTAATATTAAATTAGATAAGAAAAAATGCTCTGCAGCTATGTCTTATTTAATTTATATTGATTATAATAACATTCTTCCTAACATATCTAAAAAATCAGGTTTTTCGTATTTTTATTATTGGATACACAATGAACTTAAGAGCATAAACAAAAGAGAGAATACTCAAAAAGTTTATAAAGCATTTATAAAAGATCATAATCGTATTTATACCATCCATGATTACGATAAGTATAAAGAAATTTTTTTTAATGACAATGAACTAGAAGAACTCAAAACATTGTATGATATGTATAAATGTCTTCATAATATAAAGGATATTGGTATATCTAATGAAGAAACTAGTTTTTGCAATACAGTATTGTCATATGTACATCATTATAATATACAATCAAAAATTGCAGATAGATAATCAATGACAGCTGAAATATTGCCTCCCTGCAAAACTAACATGGTAGCTCCTATTATAATTCCTATTTTAGTTGTATTAATAGGATTCCTTTTTATATTTATAGTGTATAAAGTCAGCTACTTAACTACTTATATATATTTATGTTATTAAATAATTTTTATGAATGATATAAAATAAATTAAGAAATTATTAAATATAAATTCTATATTAGTGTATCCTATTTAATTGTTATGGATTAGTTCAGCGCATATAGTACATGTTTTAGAAGTGAAATAAAAATGATAAAAAATAAGTGGAATAATATTGATGAAGAACTAGGTATATTAGAACCCTCTGAATCATTCAATAGTAATACAAAGTGGATGTACAATATATTATATAATTCTGATTATATTTTCTATTTAATAAATAATTTAGAGTTAGCGTTTCTTTTAAACCTCATTTATATATTTCGGAGCATACCACAATGACAATGTTTCACTTGGTCATTTCTAATAAGTACGAAAATATTATTTTTATATTAAAAATGAAAAATAAATAATTTATGTTTGGTAATATGATACCAATGAATAATAAAAAATGATAATACCAAATAAATGAATCATTTATAATTATATAAATAATGATAAAAAATATACATTAAATGTATTTAGTTGATGTATTATTATATAGTAATACATAATGAATAAACAAAATGTTTCTATTTTACAAAAACATATATAGTATATAAATAAATAATGTATCAGTTAGCTTTACACAATCATGTATATAGAAGGCATAAGGATTCATAATTTCTGATTACACTGTATATTAATCATTTAGTTATACATTATGATATATTATTTCACAACAAAAATGGAAATATAATAATAATTGTTATATATATGTAAATTAATCATTTATAGACACGATATTTTTTGTAAGGCCTATAATAATCAGTAATACTAAAAATTCTACATATATTTAAGTTACTATAGTACTAAATTTTACCGTATATAAACAAATTAATATGTGGTACCAAGGAAATTATAATACATCATTTATATTTTTATTTCATTCACATTATTTATATTTTATTTTAAATTATATATTCATGTCTTATTATTAATTACGTATAATTTATCGTAATATATACATTACTACAATATTTACAATGTACTTGAACATTGGGAACAGTGAAAAAAATGTGTATAGTTTAAAAGGTAAAATAATATTAAAAATTATTATGTTATATTATATATATAATATAATTGAATCGTATAAATCATAACTTCATCTCATTGTATTTTGCTTTTTTATATTTCATGGTTTCAGTATATTTTTAATGATTAAAATTTCATAGTTCTAGGCACAATAAAAGGAAAACGATATAAAAAAAATTATATATGATTACAAATTTATATTCAAACCATTTATTCTTTGATACTATTTCTATATTAATATTTAAAATAAACAACTGAATCTAATAAATACAAATTATTCCAATTTTCATACTTTATATTAACTATTAGTGTATAATATATAAAAACACTAATATAACGCTAGTAAATCTTAATAATAAAATTCAATTGAGATTTGTACTTGTTTATATATGTTTATTATATATTCATGTTATGCTATTTTTAATAGGATAATTAATGTTTATAATAGTAATTATGTGACATTATTATTCCTATATATGCATAAATGATATATGAAAGCTAATCTTATTATATATTTATTTATTATATATTATTATTATAACTCTATATTTTTATTATACATTGTGTCTACATTGATACATTTTAATAAAAGAACAATATTTGTGCGGTTTAACAATAACTTTAGCATATAATAATTTTAAACGTTTATTTTATGCTTTAAAAAAAAAAATTTTTCTTTAAATTTTATATTTATTGGAAAATTATGTAGAATTGTATAATATATTATAAGTTATTTTCATTAAATTTCTTTTAGGTACTTCATAATGTTGAAATATAATCTTTTCCTCACCCATATATTTGTACTGACTACATTTTCCCATTATTGCGTAGCGTAAATATGAAGCAAATGTTATAATCTAATTCATAATAAAAAATAAAACACGCATTATATATTTATTTATTTTATTATAAATTATTTTCAATTTATGTAGAATCATTATTTCGAATAGTATATATAAGAAAATAATGCTTTAATTTACCTTATATAGAATAAATAAAAAAAATAATATTACTAATATTACAATAGTTGTAATTACAACAGCAACTCCTTTAATATGTGAATCAAATGAAGGCAACATTTTGTATTGAACTGGGCAATTATTTACAGATTACATTTCTACATTATATTTATTTTTTAATTCTTTTAATGAATTACAAAAATCCTGGTTATTTCTAGATTCACATGCGTTTTTATATTTTTTATATATATCATAGCAATCATTAACACAATTACATTTGTCTTCATTTTCACATTTCTTATAATCATTGAAAAAATGATTGAGTTTCATATTCATATTATATTTTCTGTGAGTATTTCCAATATATCTTCGTTAATAAAAGATTCCTTGTAATTTTCACATACGTGGCCTATACCTATAAGGTTATATTCCTTGATCAACGAATCATACAGATATTTGATATTCACGGTAAATTTTTTTCCTTAAGAAAATTATGATGTATCAAATAATATAGGTATTTACATCCCGCTATTCTTAATGTGTTATCATTATGAAAATATATAGAATTTAAATATGACATGGCATTTAATGCACATGTTAGCGTCATAATCTTTAAAATAATCTGAATAATTTTTATAAATTTTCTCGCAAGGAAGAATATAAGCGCCGTCTTTATAATCCTTAGTATCTATTATAGTTTTTTCGCATTTTGGAAATAAATGCACAAAATCACAATAAAAAGGAAAAAATAAAATAAGACTAAATATATATTATCTTGAATTTTTTTTTTTAATATTGTTGGAAAATAGTATATAAAATTATAAGAATCTTTTGATTTTGTATTGTAAAAAATAAAACTTACAATTCTTTTCCTCGTCTGTAAAAAAATTATGCACCTATAAAAGTTATACGACAAAAAGAGATTAATAATAATTTAACAGTTTTTATCAAAAGAAGCATATTTAAGAAGAAGAATTTTTTCTATGTTTTTATAATATTTGTGCCATTTAGAATTACCATGGATCTAAATTTTCATTATATATTGTGCTGATTAAGTTATAGTAGAATTTATTCATGACAAGTAATATATTTACTTAATTATTATGAAGCCACAAGGAAAGAAATAAATATATACTATTAAAAAATATTTGCATATTTCTCGTTAAAATATAATATTAGCGCCAACCTTGTATATCATATATGTAATTTCATTAGAAAAATTCATAAAATAAACAAAAAAACATTTTTATATATTTTTATTATTGTATTTATATATATGATTTTGTTGATTGAATTTTTATTTCGTTTCTATAGGAGCATATAAAAATTAATTTAAATAATATAAATTATTAAAAGAGATATTTATAATAGTTCACTAATTTTTGTAAACATATATATAAAAAGATAAAAGATAGTATAAATAAATTATTGAAATTTACATATATTATATATAATATGAAGTGATATATTATCATTTCACAATCATTGAAATCAGATTTAATGTAATGTGTTTTAAAATGATAAATATATATAAATTTTTTTTTTAATATACGACATATATATTATAAATCAATTTATTGTACAATAAAACATTAATTCATTTGAATTAATATGACATAATTACAACACCTATAAAAATTTAATAAAAATCTCCAATTATAGTTTTACAATTTGTGTTTTATATTCTCATATATCTACTACGCTTCCATTTTTAGTGACGAATTATTTTATATATTAATAATATAATAATGATTTAATCCAAAAGTAATTAAGTTCATAATATAAAAAAAAATTATATAAGCTAATTAGCATGGATCAAGCTGGAATAACCTGATTTTTATTCTCTAATATATTCTTTTTTCATTAATAAATCATTCTATTATTATTATATTTTTTTAATATTATTAAACTATGATATCCACAGTAAATTAAAATATTTCTTAAAATATAAATTTCATTACACAAATAATATGAAACAATGGCTTATATCCTATTTGTACTACTTCTAAGTGTAATATAGGGAATAATAATGCTAAAGAATCTATTCATATTTTATCAACATTTGTTCATTATATATAAAATAATATAAAGTGCGTGTATAGGGATTAATATATTTCACTCTAGATCATTGTGATCTAGGCTAAAATATATTTGAATTTTATTAGGTAGACATTTTGTAATATAATTTATTTAATATTTAAAATTTTTATAAATATAAAAAAGTAATTACTTATTCAAATCATTAAAAACTACCGCATTGGAATTACCTATTTTTCATATTCATTACAAGTAAAAAAATTTTCTAAAAATGAGCTATTTTGCTTAAATAATATATTGTATTCATAATAGACGATTTTACATTTTGAGTTAAGTGTGTACACAATGAATGCTAGTTTTGGGGCTTATTATAATTTTTACACATCAGGAAATTATTTAATGATAGAAAAAATTAATAATTATGATTTATTAGGCATTAAATATTTAACCATGACATAAATTTTAATTTGTCATGATACAAATTGTATTTTATATAACATTTAAAGATATATATATATAAGTATTTTTTTCATGGAAATAAATTGAAACACATTATGTAATATATTTAATTGAATATTGTTAGTAATCTCCTATTGTGTCCAATAATTAATGTTAAAAAAGTGTTCATTAAACAAAATAAAAAACAAAAAAAAGTATATATAAAAATATTAGAAAATAAAATGGAATATATATATAAAGAGGAATAAACAATGTGTGTAAAATATAAACCGTTTTTCTCTTCTTCTTGCATAGGGATAATGTAATCTAAAGAATTCTTTTCAGTTATGTAATTATGATTGTTCTAGTTAAATTATATATTATGCTAATGGATGTAGTTATATTCTGAGTAAAAACATATTAATCTACTTTTCGTTGAATATACATTTAAAAATATTTATTATATTAATTATAAATATTTAACAATTATGTTATGAATATTATGATTTTACTTTTAATTCAATATGACTGGAGTCGAAAATTCATGATATTAATATACTAAATAAATATACCATACATAATATATATATTTTATTATATAAGAAAGAAAATAAATTTCAATTAATAATAAAATAATTTAATATATTATAAATATTATTTATGATCTATTCCGTGTACAATAATTACAAATGATATCATAACTATGAGGAAAAAAATATATATTCTCTAACAAATAAATAGTTTTACAATGACATAAATAGAATTTTACCTAATATACACTTTATCACATAGTAGAACAGCATACATATTTTTTTTATGTCAACAATATTTTATAATATAGGATGTTTTTATTTATTTTATTTTTTGAGATATGTTTTCTCTATATATTCTATTAATTATGGCTAAAAGAAATATATATCTAGATTTTTTTTACAATTTTTGCATTAAATTGATTTTATAGAGAACATATATTATACTTTTTATGACTCAATTATTCTATTTTTCATTTCAATCACTGCTACACTTACTCGTTCTATATTATTTATTAATCTGTTATAATATAATATTCATACAAAACACTAAAATTTGCATGAAAATTTATGTATGTTTATTTTATTGAAAAAAAAATTTTTTTCAATTCAACAAAATATAAAAAAAAGTCTGCAATGAAAAAGAGTAAAAAAATAACTATTAATTTTCATATTTAAAATAAATAAATATTTAATATCATATAGATTATACGAACATAAATTAACTATCCTTTTATTTAAGGAAATAATATAAATTTATATTTGTAAAAATAAAATAAATATGCGAAAAATAATTTTATGAATATAATTTGGCATTTAGAAAATTAAAGCTATTTCCTTTTTTTATTCTTCCTAATTATAATACAAATGATAAAATGTCATTATATCTCCAATAATTATTAAATTAGTATAATAAAACAAAATAGAATAAACATAATATATTGTGCTTTAGAAATTGATGTGTAAATAAATGTAAATATGTTTTATTTTTATAAAGGAAAAAATTATGAAAAAAGATAAAAGAAGATAATACCATAAAAGTATTTAATGCATAATATATCTGATATGTTTTATAACGTAAGTATAAAATATTATCACATATCATTTTTATAAATAATAATTAAAATATAATAGTGTATTGAGATTACCTACTTTTTAATATTGATTATATGTATTATATAAATATTATTATATTAACAAGTTGTTATTAATTTTCGAAAATAAGCATAAATATTTTTAATATACTGAGTTCACATAATAGACATTAAATCATACATATACAGATGTTTCATTAATGACAATTATCAATGTAAGTAAGAGTATTCAATATATAAATAGTCAACAATATCATATATTCAATGAAGGAACTAGATTTATATATATACTTATTCCTCGTAAAAAAAAATAACCCTATATTTTCTATAACTCTTTGTTTTTTATTGAATATTTATAGTATATAAATAAAGTTTAGTTTTAACATAATACTTATATTTATGAAATAATATATTTATTTTTATATATTATACAACATTTTAATTTTTGTATGACAAAGATTAAGCTCTAGAAAAATGCATGTATTATTTAATATTTTTGAGTTAATGAATGTCAAAAATATTAGAATTTATTCCCAACGCAATATAATTAAAACTTACTATATAATGGTGTAGGATAATATTATCACGCTAATATCGTTCTTTCAGGAAACGTGGCTAAGAGTCAAATACATATAGTTTCTAAAATAATATATATAATATAAAATGTATTTTTATAATATATGCATATTTACTTTTCCATAAATTATTATAATAGAAAAATCTATATATTCATTTCTTGAAGTATCGATAAATATTATTTTACATATATATATAATAATAATCAGCCATAAGAAAAATTATATTTTATTTATAATGTACATTTATTATAATATTTTTAATTTGAATTAATACTATTTTCTTATTCTCACGTACTAAAAAAATTTATGTAAATGCTTAAATTTAATATTAAATAAATTTCTAATATAATAGCTTACTTTACTTTTTTATCTGATGAATAATCGTTGTTATCCTTCATAAAGATAATATATACTGGTTAAAATTAGATCATATTAGTTGCTCATTTTTGTATTTATTAAATATATATATACTTGTGAAGGTGATAATAATTAGTGTATTATTTTTTATGAAACATTTATATTTTGTGTACTATATTCACTAGTAAATAAATACAGTATTATTATTATTAATAGCATATTTAATAATTAATTTTATTAGTAAATTGTTTTTTTTATCACTATGATTTTTCCATGAAAATATTTACTTATTTATTTTAGAATTTACTTAGTTTTAATAGATCTGCCTTATATTATATATGAATTTTCTTGGATATTATTATTTTTTACTTTTAGTACTAGTATCATATCGGAAGAACGATTTTTTTGGTAAAAATAGAAAGAACAAACAAAAAATTTCTCTTTCTATTTTTAGAATATAATAATTCATAAAAGATTGTGTGAAATATTTAATCTGCTTCTCATTGAATTTAATTCTTGCGCTTCAGGTATGTATTTGTTTATTACACATGTTATTATGTTACCAATATTATACCATCTTTTATGATGTTCATCTATCATTTTTCGTATATGTATTCCCATAGGTGTTGACTAAAACATATGTAACATATATGTTATATTTTATATAAATATATTTTTCATATAATTTATCACTGAGGGTTAAAGTATATTGAAGTAACTTGTATATATAAGAAGAAGATGGATGTATTTTTTATTATAGTATATTATCTTAATTTGCAATATTATATTGCTATTTGTATAAAATTCATATATACTCTAATATAATAGTTCCGGTTGTGCATTAGTAGGATGGTTTAATATATAAAATTAATTATCAAAAAATTAATAAAATGCTGTAACGATTATTAATTATAAAAGACGCTTTACGTCTTATCAATATAATAGTTATGTGCCATATTTATTGTACAAATATATAAAAATAATAATTTATTTTTATGAATTATTGCACTAATGTTTATATAATGGTTACCTCCGAAACTAAGACACATACTGTATGTTTCTATATATTCATGTAGATATAATTTAAATTATTTAATTTTATTTTATCCTTTGTTGTGAAGAATAAAAGATTATTTCTAATTAATGTATTATTTTATATTTTTCAATATATTAATACTTTTATTTTTAGTTCGATTTTAGTAATATATTTCCCCAATGTACAAAAGATTTTAGATGGATCAATTTTACTCCTAATGATCATGTTGCGCACAAGTTAACAAATCTGTGTAGTGATTTTAACCTAAATCATAGGAATAGTGAGAATTCTGCTGAATTTAGCCAAAGATGTCAACTTGTTACTTATTATTTAGAGCATATAAGAAAAAATAAAGAAAAAATAAATGTAGAACCATGTTGTAAGTATTTCTTTTACAAGCTCAAAGGTCTGTTCAATGCATATCGTAGCTATTGTGGAAGCACTAAATTGTGTTATGAAAAAATGCAGAGATTAAGCAGTGATATGGAATTCAAAGATGTTATTTCTCCATTGTTTTCGTTATGTGATAGTAATATTAGTGACGCTGTTGAAGAGATATTTCCTATATTTGAAAAGATTGATTATACATATGATAATTTAAGCTTATTATTAAGTGACAAGAGAAATCCATCAGATTCGAAATTTAAAAATTTTAAAAGTGGTGTGAATGATTTAGAACGAATTCATCATAAATATAACGACAGTTTTAAAGAATTACTTATACTTTTTAATAAGTATTATTTAGATTATGTGAACGGGTTAAATCCAGATGATCGCTCTCTATATGCATTCTTGAGTTATCGCCGTAAAGCTGGAGATATGACAGGAGTATTGAGAGTAATAGGTAAAAAGCCACAAACGCATGCAATAACAGGTA